CAGTTTTTGTTGCATGCTGGGAGTAATTTTATTATTATTATTTTTTATTTTATTTTAAACAGTGTTTAAATATTATTGTTTTATTTTTTTTATTCATAATTTTCATTTCATTATTATTATTCTATTTATTTGTAACAAAACATCCAACTGGTTTTCACATATTTCATCACAAATTTTTCTTTAATAAGATTTCTCACAATTGAATATAAATAAATATAATGTTTAATAATTAAATGGAGTGCCTACTGAAATACGGGTATCCACTAATAATAATAATAACAATGTTTAAAGTGATAAAAATCTGTCAGATTAATAAAAATCCATTCAAATAATTCTCTTTGTTTACATTTGGATACAAAATTTTATGAAGATATGAAAATCTTTGAGAGATCAAGAGAAATTTCACTTGAAAGCATCAAATTTGACTTCATTTAACCATCTGTCGCCTTGTGGCCAAATTGGTATAGGTGCACCAGGCTAAATGGTTGCTCTCTCTATATATTATAGTATTATTTCATAAATAATGCTTGCATTAATTACTTTACTCTGAAAATCCCTTTCTTTCTGATTTTCAGTGCACAGCATAAAGATTAAGGATTCAAATTTTAATTTTAAGTAAAAGAAAAGTTATCAAATTTGGTGCTTCATCATCAATTTCTTTTTCTGCCATCATTTATATTTAGTTTATTTATCTATGTGAGATGGAGTGAGTAAGCAACAAGGAAGAAGTCTTACAGAACACTTCTACTCAGAATCAGGAAAAGACAGCTTAAATTGTCTTGGATACATAAAAAAGAAAGAGGGTTTGGTAAACGACCCTCACAGGCATATTGAGGGCAAGAGAGATAGGGGAAGGCATCAAGCCACTTACCTGAGGAGCTTGTGTGAATGGATGGCAGAACAGGGGAGGGAAGTTGTGGCAATCCATGATCACTTACATTGTGAAGAGATGTGGCACATAGAAGAAGAAGGAGGAAAAGAGAAAGTAGAGAGTAATGGTAAATTATCTGGGCAGAGATAAGAAATCTTTAAACCTTTTGCCTATATCTTCTTCTCTTTCTTCTTAGTTTCACAAAGATCTAGGAAGTGGGTTGTCCACATCAACTGTAGGCTTGCTTATGGCTGACCGGTCCAACACTGATTAACTTGCCATGACTGCAGATGAAGGTTTCATCTGGGACTGATGCTGTGTTTGCTGACACAGTTGATATGGAATCATCATTTTTACTCCTTTTCAATTGTTTGAAAGATGGCCCTGCATTCATTCTCAAAGGAGTAGATGGCTTGATGGATTGTGAGTCACCAATTTCCTGACTATAAACTTGCCAAAGCATACCAACCTTAAATGAAGTCGGTACCAAAATATAACCATGTTTATTGCTTCATTTCTTCTCCCTATCCTGGAGATTTTCTCTCATCATATATAATTCTTATAGTAAATTAGTCATGATATGTGTAGTGATATGTAGTTTAACCAATTAACATATCCAGAATACTCAGGCTATATAATGTCTCTTATTAAAAGGAGGAAAACTTTGCATAAACATTGACTAGTAACATGAAGGACTTAGGACTTCACAACAATATGGTTAATAACTCTTACTTATAATATCACAGGTAAGATTATATAATCTTTTAGTAGCACATTTCAAAATTGCTGTATTTAACATAAGTCATTCTATTCACAGAATGGAAGGCAGGATGAAACAGCACACACTAAACAGGATATATCAACTTGGCTGATATGCAACCATATTCTCTCTTGGAAAATATGGTTGACTTGGTCATGGGTCAGCATTTAGTGAACAATCCTCTCTGTTTTAGAACTGTTTTACAATGATTAACCAAGTAATTCCAAAATATTAAGATGAGGGTCTTTGAATCTATTTACATAAATGCAACAGAGTGATTATAGCAAAGAAAACAGCGAATTACCTCATCAAACCAAGCGACAGCATGTCGCGTGTATCCTATGATGGAAACCGTGGCGAAAAAGTTACTTGCTGAAAAAAAGGGCACATATTCTGCATGATATGCTGAAGACAGTATATTCAAATTAGAAACAAGTCAGTCACAGTAGTTGCCATAAAAGTATTTTGATATGCTAATATTGTGTGTCCTCTCTCAGTTGTCAATGAATGAAAAAAGAAATGCTTGGTTAATAAAAGCAGTTGTTCTTGAATCAAGGAGAAAAAAGATAAAATTTGTGTATTTGGCGACCGCAGTGTTTGAGTTATTTTTCTGACTGGTTATGTGCATTGTGATTTGTGACATAGTACCTGCAAATCAAGATTTCAACATTTTTTTCTGCTCCCGATTTTCAAGTCTATTTACATAAATGTGACAGATATGTAACTGTCTTATTCCTCTGAAAGTATGGTTGAATTGGCTATAGGTCAGCATTTATCAAACAATACTCTTATTTTTTTTGTTTCATTTTTTTAATAATTTCACCCCAAGCAAGGTAATAATGTCAGTAAGATGCTAGGGCATACTGGGATCAGAAGAGAATAAGGAGACATTAGTGGGTGAAAAATAAATATTTGAAGATTGTACATGACAGGGAAGCAAGAAATCGGAAGAGAATTCCATGATGATAAGTGCAAGAAAAGAAACTATTAGAATAGAACTTACGGCTACATCTAGCTAATTCAACAGTAAAACGATTAGACCTTGTTACCAATCTCATAACACACTTAAATTCATGCAGTCAAGATGTCAAGGAAGTGAGCTCATTAGAACAACTGCCATGAAAATATTTACAGAAAAGACAGGAAAACCATGTCACAGGTGGGAAAGGGATTGAAGTTAAGATATCAGGTTAAGATCAATAACACTACAGAACCTTCTTTGGATTTTACCAAGAATCTCAAGATATATAGCAGGAGCACCAGACCAGATATGGCAGTAATACTCAATGTACATGAATTGTATATTTATAAATATGCAAGATGGATTCTGCCAAGAAAAATTGTCTGGCATAACTGTTGTAGCATACCTATAGACGATAATGGGTATTCATTATTGTCTGTAGGTATGCTACAACAGTTATGCCAGAGAATTTTTCTTGGCAGAATCCATCTTGCATATTTATAAATATACAATTCACATAAATACTGTTTGTTGGTCTGCAGTTGGAGATTCATTGTGGAATTCACATGACACTTCTAGCAGTTGACTACTTCTATGCACTGCTGGTGAATCTTATAGGTCCTAAGTATTATCGTTCATTACCAACCTTCGTTTCATTATTCTATTCAGTAACCTTCCCTAGATTACAGCAATAACACAGTGAACCAACTTTCCTAGCAGTAGACTTAGCGGTTGTGCTCAGACCTATACAATTATTAAGCAGGTAAGCTCCAATTTTCACATGGTAATCTTAGAATCTACCAGGAGGACTGAGTTGTTTTTTCACAAAATCTTATGAATGATATTGACTTTTAAACTTTTTAATTTCCTTCTTTTTTCTCTAATATTTGTCTTATGCTTGGTTGCTTACAATGTATTATTGATGTCTTTTGTATTTAGGATTTTATGTGACATATTTGTTCTTTTGCTTTAATTTTATTTTTACTTAGCTGTTCTCTGCACTGGTATAATTTTCTTGTACATAATATAAAATACTAAATGCTGTGATGATTTCAACAATTTTTTGGAAACACACTAATGTGTGTTGCCAAAAAATTATAGTATTTAAAAACTTTAAAGATATATATGCAAAAAATAACATTGCATTTTTATTAAATAAATATTTGTTATTTTAGTCATTAAATTGTTTTTAAAATAATGGGAGTATTTTTTATGTTAAATAATAAAACTTTTGATTTGAAAAAAAAAATGATGAAAATTTATTGTACTAAGGTATGCACTCTAGTAAACCAACAGTACTTTGTACCCTTTCTCTATTTGCACTTCTCCCCAAAATTTGGTTTTGATCAGTCAATGCATGGCTATTTTAGAGGGTGTGATGGATGGACAGATGGATGAACTAATGGAAATTACAGAACTTTATATATAAATTGTTGATGCTTTCTTTGGAGTGTCAACCAAATGAAAATAAAGTATGTATACATTAAGATTTTTAAGTAAAGTTAGTTTTTGTATAAGAATACAGTATTTTTAGTCAAATAATCTACTATATGCCTTGCTATTTGGGCCAGCATGATCATCTTGGTTGTTACTGATTAGAAATTGTATCCTCTAGTGTTATTCAGGTGACTGCTGTACCTAACAAGCTTGTTGGAGTATTGAACTGAACTCTTTATTCAATCCACAGAGTAGATGGCTTCTTTCTGATGAGATTTCATATCATTTAATATTCACCAGTTTTATTCATTTTTCTATCACTTGTCCCTTTCTAAACTAGAGTATCTGCCATTTCTGCAGTATCAGACCCAGGGTTTGAACTCACTAGGAAATTAAAAGATGTTTTAACTAAAATCCATTAAAGCATGTACCTCTTGGATAATTCAAAGATGAAATTTTGAACCTTAATATATTTACTCAGATGGACATTTAAACATTTGTAAATGACAAAACAACACAAGGATTTTTGAGAAGAGGAATTATTATACACCATGATACAGTACCAACATGCTTGGATGTTATACTCACATTTTAGCCAGTGTACTCTCCAGCTTTCAAAATTTTGAACTAAACCCTTTTTGAATTTTGAACTAAATCCTTCATTTACATTTACCTCATTCTTTTTTCGGCATTGTTTAACCTTTGTGCCTGCAAAAAAATGGTGTGTCAAAAGGACAGTAGTTCCCTTGACATTGCTATCATTGTATACACTTTTCACTCCCTTGACAATGTTTATTATTTAAAAAAAAAAGCAATGATTAGAATACAGTTCACTAAAGTAGTAGTAGCACTTGGTCTAAAGATTGCATTGAGTCACTGTGCAATGTTTTCCTATGCTCATACTGTCATATATATATATATATATATATATATATATTTGTTTGTTTATTCTTTTTTTTTTTTCTTTTCAGGATCATTCTGAATCTGTAGGATTTTGCAAAGAACCCTTACATTTTGGTCGAATTACACTGGATTTGCTGAAGACTGAGATTAAAGATTTGTGTAATACATATTTCCTTATCTGTGGTTCAAACTCCTTCAATAAAGACATGGTCAACTTTCTTTTGGAGTTACAAGTCCCAGAATCACAATATTTCATATTTTAAATAAAGTGTTTTCATTTCTAATTTTGTCTTGTGTCTTTAAAAATGACTCATAATTTAACAATGGGTGTAATAGGTGAGCTGTGGAAGAAAGGTTTATTCTCCCAGGTTTGTATATTCCCCATTATTAGCATTATTATACCCATGATATAATGTCATCTTATTTCACAGATGGAACAGAATAGCTGAAAGGAAAAGAATGACAAGCATGCTTTGTTCTCAGAGTTTTATACCACTAAGTCATACACAAAATTTATACATATACATACATTTGTCCCAAAGAGAGAAAATATAACACATATATGCAACAACAAGCAGTGTGAAAAGAAACAAAAAGATAGTCTTACTTAAAATAATTCACAATGGGATTGGAGCTGCCAGAGATTCGTCTGTGTTTTGGGAGAAGCCATATTTAAGATTCCATATTCAAGCAGGCTGAATTCATCTGCTATGTTACTAACAAGACCATCTTCTCCTCAAACAAGGAAACAGTGAGTCATGGCCTTTTCCCAAATTGAGGGCTACAAACCGAAGATAATTTCTATATCTAAAGATATATTTTCATAGGAAAATGGCACTATGGGCTTGTCAGCTGCACCACATGACAGCTGGTTGCCCTGGGCAGAAGGTGAGGTAACTGCTCAGTTTGACTCCTGGAAACACTGAAGGACTGACCACTTTCATCACACTATGAAGTGATGTCACTAAACAGCCGTCACATGACTTCATCTAGACTAAAGGGATATAATCACTTTATATATCCATACAGCAGTGCGTGGTATAATTAATAACAGTTCGGAATTGGAAAACAGTGATAATTTCCAATAAGTGAATATAATGAACCTAACTTGAATTTGACTGTTTTGCAATTCCTGTCAGGTTCATTATATTCACTTAAGTGCAAAAACCCTTAGGAAAGGTATGGATCCACCTCTTCTCCTCCCAGCTATGGGTTAATTAATAGGACTTGTATCAGTAAATCATTATCATCTCCCCAAAATCTTACAATCTAGGAAATAATATATATAAGTAAAATGTGCCATTTGGTAGATTTTTCAATTCTTTACATAATAGTAACTAAATAAGAAACAAGTAGGAAATCTTTATAAATTTCACATATTTCACTATTTATCTAGATTCATTTTTATTGGTTGTGTAGATATCACAATGTTTCACCAATGCCATAGTTTGCACCCATGCTCAGTTACCCAGCCTATACACCCTTCTCCAACAGCACTGGCTTGTACATATATACCATATATTGGATGGAAGGATTCTGAATGTCCTCCTGTACAGGGAACTGGCCACCAGCAAGAGGGGACATTGGCAATCTAATCTTTGCTTCAAGGACATCTGCTAAAGAGACATGAGGTGATGGACATTGAAAAGTGGGAAGACGTTGGTAATGATCACTCACATTGGAGATGTGATTTACACTGAGGTCTGGAGCAAGGAGAGGAGAAATGAAGACTTGCCGCTGGGCAGAAGCATGCTTGACAGAAAGAAAACAACAAGGTGACATCAAAGGAGAGTGTCTTCACATGCATTCATTGCAATTGAGACTGTCACTTGTGTGTGGGCCTGTACAACCATAACAGATGCTGCACTGCTGAGGCATAACTCTTTGGGTGCAGACTGAAGGTTTCTTGAGACTTACTGATGCCACACACAGATATCATGTATACTGACATTAGTGTTTGTCTGTATACATGCTTATGCTAATATACACATGACGTCTAATGTGAAAATATAACTAAATCCTTCTGACGAAGCTAAATAGTGAAACATAACAAATTTACAAGATTTCCCATTTGTTCTTTATTTTATAATTTTCTCAAATTTAATCCATATTTTACAACTCATAATTCATTGTGATAATAAGTTTCTTAAATCCCACTTCTGGCTACCAAAGTATTCATTTGAAGATGCATCTGCAATTATGTTAAAAAGACAATCATTCATTTTTTATCAATTTATAATAAGAATATTATATAATAGTCCTATTTTCTCAGTGACACTTGCATTAATTTCTTTGCCAGTGATAATCCATGTCAGTACATTATTTTACTCATTTCACCCCAAGCAAGGCAATAAAGCCACTAAGATGCAAATGGTTACTGGGTGTTAGAGACTATGAGGAAAAAATGCTATAAAGGAGAGAAATAATATAAGAACAAGACAGAAGATAACGATTGACATTGCACTTAAATTTTTTAAGATCAAATTTGACTGTGATGCAAGAAGCTGGAAGAGAGTTCCACAAGCAAGAAGTGCAATAGAAGAAACTGTTAGCATAAAACATATTGTTACAGTTACCCATTTCAACTGTAAAATAAATAATGAGACTGCCTCCAATCTGCGCTTAAATTCATAAAGTCTAGGTAACATAGAGGAAAGTTGATCAGAACAATTACCATGAAAGTGTTTATAGAGAGTGCACAGGGAAGCTTCATTATGGCAGTGGGAAAGTGACTGAAGACAAGATGTCAGGTCAGGACCAATAACATTGTGGATTCTACTTTGGATTGTATCAAGAATCTCTGATTATAGTGATTTTCCAAGTGTAGCTTAGATGTGGCACAAGGCCAAAAGTATGGGGCACCTAGTAAGGATTGAACTCACTACTCAATCATAATTGTTCTAGTGAGACAAGCTTGCTAACCATTACACCACCTCAAGGTGCCCTAAGAATCTCTGATTATATAGCAGGATCACCAGACCAGATGTGGCAGCAATATACAAAGCAAACATTAATGGTAGACTTAGAAATATGTGCAATAGATTATGGCAAGAAATATTGTGTATAGCAAAATCATTATCAAAGTATATATTAAACATATAATAGCACTGTTCTGTCAGTGATGCTTGCAGTAATTCCTTATCACTGACAATCCCTTTCTTCCTGATTCTAATAGTAAACCTTTCAGTGATATTATTCGATAACAAAATCATTAGCAGTATATTTATATTAAACATAATACTTCTATTCTGTCAGTGGTGCTTGTATAAATTCCTGACTGATGATAATCACTTCTTTTCCTGATTTTCAATGCATAATATGAATTTCAAAATTTGATATGTTTTAAAATCAAATTTGCAAAATTTAGTGATTATTCATTAATTTTTTCTTTACTACCAGAAGTATGTATTAGGTTGCGTCATAGGTAATTTCTGTTTTAGGGAACCAATTGTAATTTGTGAATGCATCAAATATAACAGCTGGTGAAAAATGGGTTATATGCAACAATGTTCCACACAAAAGGCAAGAATAAACTCCACAAGAGACCCCAAAAACTGAGCTCCATGGAAGAAAGGTAATGTGCAATGTAATGGGATTGTCAGGGTATCATTCATTTATAGTTTTTAAAAGACACTTAAACACTACATGCACATTTATATATTCAACAGCTACAATGTGGTCATAAAACTTTGGTCAAAGAATGCCCTGTGTTTGTCAATAGGAAAAATGTTATTCTTCTCTATGATAATGCAAAGGGAAAAATTTTGGAACCTGCCATATTCATTTGACCTTGCACCAACTGATTATTATATTTTTTGATAGTTGCAAAATACTCTGATGGGGGGAAAACTTTCTCTAATGAAAACCAGATTCAAGAGTTTGTTAAAACCATTTTTGCATCAAAGCCTGCAGAATTATAATATACTGAAGAACTACCTGATAACTAATGAGAAGTTATTGCAAATAATGGTGAATATATAAATAAATAAAATGTAATTGTACTTTATTTTTGAAGAAAAAAACTTCATTAATATAAAATGAAATATCTTTATGTTAATAGTTTATTAGTATGCAGACAATGACTAAAGCCAAGTGGGTAAGAAAAGCTGAAACTTTGCCTATATCGTCTTTTATATGCCACATCCTTTCAGGGTGTGGCCAATCATGGCTCTCCAGAATTTCCTGTGTCTTGTCACTTTAAGCAATGTTTGACTCTTTAGTATTTTTTTTTTCTCACTCTGCCATCCATTCACCCAAACTTATTAGGCAGGTTACTTGCTGTTTCCTTCTGTCTCTCCTTCCTTCAATATGTCCTGTGAGTGTTAAATTTTCCAAGGCCTTTTTCCTCTGAAATTTCAACTGTCTCTTTCTGATCTTAAGCTTAAGTGTTCTTCTTGTTGCCATTTTCTGTTGCTTGCATATTCTGACCATGATATTCTCAGCATCCATTTGTAGAAAAGTATCTCTGTCACTTTGAGTTTGTTTATATAAAATTTAAAAATGCACTTGGTGCTAAAACATGCCTATGTTTATTGCAACAATATCTTGTGTCTGCAGCCAGAATTTTTGTGTCATTAACTATATCTTAACACTATTGTATCTACTTACTTCCTGCATAATGTGTTACCCTCTAAAAGAAAATATATTAAATAAAGTGTTGCCCATTTTAAAAACTCAAAAGGGTAAAGGAGTATTGAAAGATTTCTGTCTTTCTTTTGAATCCATCACTTCTTTTTCTTTCATCTATGTTACTTTTCATTTTCTCTAACTTTATTTACCCTCTGTTTTTATTCTTTCTCACTTTTTCTCCCTTTTTTCCCCATGGCAGTTTATAGCTATATTCACATTGCATGCATGATAACACTGCACAGGTATTGCACTGTTCCTTGACATAAGTGCTGGAAAGTGACACTTTAATCCAAGGTAGAAGTACTGAACCATATATAAATAATCTCATTATTTTTTTGCGAGTACTATGCTAGTGTAATGATTCAAGTAAATGGAAGTTCTCATGTGTTCATTTAATAAACTGTACCTGTGATTTTATAAGGTGCATAAAAACCTAGTTTTTAATATTCACTGTTGGAGAAGTAATATATATTACTTTAATCTTGTACCATACTAAGCAAAAATTATAAATATTAATTACATATTATAATGAGACTGTGAATTTTGTCATATAATTTATCTAAAACAAAATCTAAATTACTGAATTTTAACAGCTTACCAATGAAATATATTTATATTTTTATTTAATTAATCA